ATATATATGAAATAATCAGTTTGTTATTGCTTAATAATTACCGGGATCGCGGGGGAAATTAAATGGTTGTATTTGCGCTCTGTCCCATCAGAATCCGCTTAAACTGACTGACAGCGCTGCTGTGTTTGGAACTATTGAGAGCTCCATGAACCACGTGACCATGTGTCGGCTGGTTCAAAGAGTGTCGCAACTCTCTTTCTATAGGGCTCTGGCAGACACTGCGCAGAAAATCAATGTTCTGTTCTCTGATTGGCCCGGCTGCCAGTGAAATCCTTGTCTATGGGAGAAGTCCCAGACGGAGCAGAGAAGGGAAACTAGAACTGAGCGGAGCTGCGTAGGAAGGTGAGGGCCAGGCTAGTAAAGTTTAGGACAGAACAACACCCCAGCGGTTTTTATCTAGAGATTAACTTTTATGCAAGTTTTATCCAGGGTTCCCATGGGTCCTTGAAATCCTTGAAAGTTTGTGAATTTGAAAATATGATTTCAAGGCCCTGGAAAGTTCATGAAAACAGCTAAAAGTTACACTTGTCCTTGAAAGTCCTTGAACGTTTTTTGAGGATTGAAATTCTCTATTCACATGACTGATTTTCATCATCTTTAAAAAAATATTAAATTAAATTAAAAAACTTACATTTGTTGCAGTGGATAACTCAGAACTGACGTTATTGTTTCTGACTCAACAACTTCTATGTTGTTCCGTTTTTCATTGAATTAACATGATATTAAACCTGTTTATTGATCACGTTCTGCGGCAGCAGTAGGTAATTGCCGTTGCGCGTGGTTCTTTAATTTGAGGAAATTGGTACTGGAAAGTCCTTGAAAGGTCCTTGAATTTGATGTTGACCAAAGTGTGGGAACCCTGTTTATCAGCACATAACGGGCTGGATGCATAATATATGTTAAGACCGCTTCCTGTCTGAGTCACATCACAGAGGAGCAGGAAGAGCTGACAGAGACACAGAAGTGAGGTGGGAGTTTCCAAGATGTTGTTGTCCTGTGTGCAGAATCAGATTTTCCTTTGGGAACATGAAAAAGATTTGTCTGTTGTTTGCTGAAGCAGTGTAAACAGGAGGGGCTTAAATCCTAATTAATAGACAAGTGTGCACAAAATGTTGCTGTTTGTAAGTTTTATGTGTCTTTATGACATATTTAATGTCAAGTTCAATTCTGAAACATTTTTATTTTTACAAAAGGATAACTTTATTAATGTGGGATTCTATGATTT